TTAATAATAACAAACGTCCCGTATGACGAACATCACATCCATGCCGTTTGCAGGCGGCTCTTAATCTGCTGCTTGGTCAGCTGAAGGTCGAATTTTTCATTGATATCCTTGGTAACCGCTGCCCACGCCTCCTTCTTAAAACCTGAGTCGGAGCGTTTGCCTGTTCGCGCTTGATCCGTCATCGCATCTATCAGGAACGCGTCTTTTGCTGTGTCCCATGAAGCACGAGGTCCAGAGCTCGACATGCTGCTGCAAAAGAAGGCGTAAAGCACGGTGCGCGTGTTAGGCGTTTGGGTCGCGTTCTGTAGCATCAACAACAGCAAACATTCACCTCGATCTAACGCTGGTTTCCTTTGGTCTTGAAGTTTCCTCTGGCGCGGTTTCCTTTGTGATAAAGAAATTCTGGTCAGAGCAGAATTTTTTGGATTGCGATTACTGAGGCTTATTGTAATATTCTGAAGTATGTTTGGCTCCACAATAATCAAAGCTCGGATTGTGATTATAAAAATGCAATCGAGATCATTGCGTTTTGGCAGTGCGTTTGGAATCGCGATGTCACAAGAATTTATCATTCGACCCGGAATCGCAATCTATCCCGATTTATCGAGATATATACGGGGATCCAAACGGGGCCTTAATGAATATTGATCGCAAATTCGGTTCGTGAACTCACATTTATTTTCCCACAGCCATGATGGCTACACTGCAGAATGTACGCAAGTTTCGACTGGAAAAGTACCCTCACATTCTAAATCATAACCTCAATGCAAAAGAATGTGTTTGCATTTACAATGTTAGTTGCCGACGACCTAGCACATGAAGCTTCATCTGGTAACTTCGTCCACCAAAAGAGCAGATCAAATGGAATCGCGATTGCGATAAGGGATACTTCGGAAGAATAAAGATGCTGAAGAAAACTGCATTGCGCTCTCTTTGAACAACGGTGAGTAGTAAATCCAGAATAAGTATTCTGGAAAAAAAAAAATTAACGGCAGAGAACCCCGTACATGACACTTCAAACCTCAGCTCACTCCCTCCACGTCACTTAACAGGAAATCACTTCTGCTGAACTTCATGAGCGATTGGAACACTCAACTGGACTCTCGACTCCTCCTGCTAGCGCATGCGTCGCACAGATAATGAAACGCACATTGTTTGGTAACCACGACGGAGCAGCCTTAATCAAAGCGCTCCAAAGTTCCTTTTCGTCGTACTTCTCGTGAGCATCATCCACCATAACTTAAGTTGGGATAGTTGTTTTACCTTAGACGTCAATCCCGTGCTCGTGCGGCGCGTTTAGACTATTCAACGATAATTCGGATCCAAAGGATGTCGATTGCCGTCGTCATACGTGCTATGCTTG